CTCACACAGACAAGTTGTATTGGCTAAATCCTAAATCGTAAAATCAAAACCCAAATATAATCTTTAAACCCAAATAGAATAGAACAAAATAATTTTATCTCAAATAGAATTTTATATCCTATTTCAAATAGAATATACATAAAAGATCTCACACATACAAGTTTATTGACTAATTATTAAACCTTAGCCCAAATATAAACCCTAAATCCACAGTGGATTTAACATAGCCAGGTCATCCTCCTCTAATGCAAGCTTTATGACCTCAATCCACCGGAGGTGGAAGTAATTATTAACCCTTTTTCTCCGAGTGGATTCGAACCCTTGACTCAAACATTCTACTTGGAATGTCTAACTCGTTCATAGCAAACCTGATAAAAGAAAATAAAAGATATAAATCTAGAATTTCATTTGGAGTAGAAAGCGTGAACTTATATAAAATTCCATTCTATGTCACATGAAATAGATCGATAACAAAAACATACTATATATAGAGAATGAGACCACTAGGTATTCAAAAGCTGTTCTATTACACTTCACATAACAACATATTTGCTCTTATATTTAATTCCATTCCAGTTCATGTGGAAGTGATTTACAAAATACCATACTATATACATCAGAGAGGCAACACTGTAAATCAAACGCTATTCCACACAATAATCACTTAGAACCCAATCAAACTTGAAAAAGTCAGAATTCAAAAGTAATAGAGTATAATACATAAGTCGGAACCCCAATCAAATATAATACATAAGTCGGAACCCCATAAAACATGTAAGTTCACTGTTACGAGAAAGGGAATCAAGCAAACGCAACTTACAGGGGGGTTATGAAGCTCTGGTTAAAGATGGTGGAAGTACGATTGGAAATTCTGGGACACAGCTCTATGATTAACCGGGTAACGTCTATTTCGTTGCTGTTGGTTGTGGAATCAGAGACGCTAAGCCAAAAGAAAACAAATCAAGTAAGACAGTCGCCTGAAATTGAATATACGTTGGGTCTTACCGGTGTTCTATTCATGTTTCTCAAATATCTATTTCAGACTTTTCACATTTTCGAAAACGTAGAAAGAAAGAAGTTATTGTGAGATAGTGTGTCTCTCCGATGCCTACGCGTAAATTTTATAATTAATAAAAAAAAATTTAACAATAGGTTTACCAATAGCGTAAAAGGGCAAAAGTAGAATTATACATAATATACAAACTATAGCAGTGTATCTTAGGGCTTTTGGTTATAGACTGAAATATGGTGTTTTTGTAGCCATCCAGTCCAATTTCTCATATTTCATTATATGCAAACATTTTGTTTTTCTCCCAGTTTTCGAAAAGATAATTTGAAATATTTGTCAACATAGGTTAGATTCTCTTGTACCAAGAACATAAGAATGCATAGATAACACCAAAAGATACTGCATGTGTGTATGCACGCTGAGGAACAACATCTCTAAAACCTCCAAAAGTCTATGTTGAATAAACTTCATCCATTATTCTAAGAAGATATATATATATATATGTTTAAATATTACATTTGTTCTATACGATATTAATTTTGTTGCGACATTTTGTTGTGGATTCAATGGACCCTCCATATTTGCATGTGCCTGAGTGTAGAATGGGACGAGAGAATGGCGGTCTTTGACATGGACGTCACCTTATTGTTTCAATTTTATCCACGAACCTCAATTACTTACATAAACTATATTCGTTGTCAATTTTATTTCTTGCAACTACAATAAGTGTTCATTACATTTACTCGTTCTAACTTAAAATAATTTGTTGACAAAAATACTTACAAATAAACCATATTCATAAATCCTGTGGCTAACGCGTTATTTAAACCAATACGTGTATTATACCATCTATGAAAACTGTTTGATATGAAATTTTCGTACAAACTTTTCAAAAGTTGTTAAACGCTAACAACAGTTCTTAAATTGTAATCGTCGCTTTTGAGTTTGTTACTTCCGTTCATATTTTTGTTATCTGAGGCTAAATCACATGAGAAAAAAAGGGAAATAAGAGCACATTTTGTCTGAATAAAACTAAAAAATTCGATCTATTGTTGGAGGCATCAGATCCTCAAAAATATATACTTGGAAAAGTATTTTAATTCTGTCACCAATTACAGTTGAATAATTGTAATACAAATACGCTTATTGTATATATACTGGTTTGGGTAAAAATAGTTTACAGCTGAATGCAGAAAACGACATGAATCACAATCAAACCCATTTTCATCACCCATGTTTATATAATATATGTCGTAGTGGCTCCCACGTCACGCGTTTACTACCTAGACCCCACTTTATTTATTCATAATACTCGTCTGATTTTCCCATAACTTTGTATGTAGTCCCAAACAACTGATTCGTGTATGTTCTCGACTTCCTCTTTTCTCGCCAGTGTCGACAACACCAAATTAAGATGTGTGATATGATCCACCAAACATATGATGACCCTCTATTCTACAAAAACAAACAGCTTAGAATGATAACCACACTACTCACACGTGCCAAAACAGTCACAAAGAGACAAAATGAGCAATTCAAACAGTCTTTGGAGCTACCCACTCTCACATGATTTTGATTCCCTATCAGATCGATCTATAGTCAGTCATCCAGGGCAGTAGAACATAAAAAAAACATCTCAAAGGGGGCAATATGAAAATCTTATGACAATTATATTTTCAGAAAATCATGTGTGGCAGCTGCCCCTCCCAAAGCCTACCTACATCATCCACTGCCTAATAATAATAATCAAATTTAAGCTAATGAATGCAAAACATTGATTAAAGAAGTATGTTGGCCATCTCCTATTTGGAAAAGTCGATCATGTAACTTACTGATACGTTGGCCTCTAGAGAGATAGTTTCTTCTTTTTCTTACGGACATGATTAGTTATTAGGGTTTAAATTGATTAATTAATAATATAAGTTAATGACCTTCCAGTGTTTTTTTTCCCGTAGTCATAATTGCTGTCTAAGATTCTTCCATCAATTTGTTACTGGATTGACCCCAATAATGTTGGCACTTGTTTTTCGATGGATCCATTCTTAACAGCAAACTCCTTTGCAGAACATATTCCTCTAGTATCACTTTTTATTCTAATGACTAATGACTAAAAGGATAGACTGTCTGAACTGGAAAATAAGTTTTAAATACTTGAGACTGAATATAAATTACAATCTTTTTTATTTATTTATTTAATCTAAGAACCATAAAACTTTTTTTTTACGAACTTTATAATAACAAATTAAAGAGAAATATTGACCAGAATATATATATATATATATATATATATAGGACAATTCTCTCAAACATATCTTTTTAAGTTTTTATCACAAAAATAGACCTCGAAAACTAAACTGACTAAAATAATATTTTTTATTTTTTTAAATTTAAGTTTTTTTCTAATTTTTTTTAATTTTAAAATCTTATCTCCAAAACCCAATTCCTTAACTCTAAACAAAAAAATCTAGGATTTGTTAACCCAAATGGTATATATGTATATTTACTTATTTTTGATAAAATCTTTAAGTCTATTTTGGTCATTTTTATTTTTAAGATTTACTTTTATGACAAAAAAGTTTTCTATTTTGGTCATTTTTATTTTTAAGATTTACTTTTATGACAAAAAAGTTTTTTAGCTATATCCTAAAAAAAATCTCATATATATATCCAAGACGAACTGGTTATAGAGTGTGACATTCCCTACAAAGTATCATATACAGTAATAATTAATAACAAGAAAATCAATGTATCGTATATAATGCATATATCATTGTTATTAGTATCCCGTTTACTCTTCGACTATTATCTAGTAAACTGTATACTCAGGAATCATGGTTATCAGAAAACATTAATGTTTGTTTCAATAATAACCCAAAATAAACAAAATATATAAAATACATAATAGTCGAAGATGGTTTTGGTGTTTGATTGGATCATTATCGAAACCTCACATGGGCGAAGGATGGTGATGAAAGGTCCCGCTATAGTAATCAAACTATTTTTTTGCTTCCAATTTCCCTTATTATTGTTATTATTAATTAGTTGGGGAAAAATCTTGAAAAGTTTGGCAGTATCTATGATATAGAGACATGTTATGAACTTGTGATGATCAAACCCATGTGAAAATGTATACAATGAGTTTGAAGTTTCACCGCAGCCAGAATCTCTTTGGATCCAGCTTGTTCACCTTTAGAAAATAAAGGAAATTGACCTTTAGAAAATATTGATACTTACTTATATGCAATATGTTTGAAAATTTTATGAATTTATAGCTATTAATCAAATTTTCTTAGCTAAAGAAATATCCACTCATAACCTAGGATATATAGAAGACATCATCGTAAGTAGTCTTATAAGAAAAACTATTGAATATGTACATACATAAGTTTTATCATATCCACTCATAACCTACTATATATGTATATAATTTTTTTTTTGGTAAATTACTATATATATAACTTCGGATAGAATTGATTAAACATATCATCAAAGTTAATTGGGTCTTGAAAGAAAAACCATTGAATATGTATATATGTGTATAAATACAAGTTTTGATAAATTTGGTTGTGCACGTCTTTATTCTCTTTCAAGTGAAAGTACAATAATATTTTCCAAAAACTTCGTTAGAAACTATTTATTTCCCTACATACAGTTTAGTTAGCAGATATTAGTTTATAAGCTTTTAATATTCACGAAAACTATACAACAAATAAGTTACAATTTCAGAATACTAGATTAATCCATTTGCCCATGTCGCGGCAATTACGAATACAACAAATGCGTTTCAATATAAGAATACAAATACATTTAGCAGTTGTCTCTTTCTCTCACTCCGCTGATGTCTCTCATCAACAAAATTCAATGAGATTTTCTGGATCGTATTGGTAATGGTGTGGGTCCCAATTAGGACCAAATTGATTGCCAATTAATTTTTGCAAAATAAATTAAATACACAACAAAAGCATCTCTCAACACTCTTTTGTCTCATGAAGCCAACAATACTTAAAGCCACCCTTCACTCTTCCAACAACACTTTCATCACATTTCCTCTTTTACATTTTCCCACAAACACTTTGATTGATTAACACACTAGACCATACCTGACCCCTAATATTCTTATGGCACGACCACAACAACGGTTCCGAGGCGTGAGACAGAGACACTGGGGCTCTTGGGTCTCTGAGATTCGCCACCCTCTCTTGTAAGTCTTCATTAAATTTACCAAACTACCCTTGCTTTTCTTTTCTTGGATGTTAATCATCAAGAAGTTCTTGACCTAGCTAGTTGGCTAATTCGTTTTTTCATTTCTTGTTTCAGGAAAACAAGAATCTGGCTCGGGACTTTTGAGACGGCGGAGGATGCGGCTAGGGCCTACGACGAGGCGGCGAGGCTAATGTGTGGCCCGAGAGCACGTACCAATTTCCCTTACAACCCAAACGCAGTTCCTTCTGCCTCTTCCAAGCTCCTCTCTGCCACTCTCACCGCTAAACTCCACAAATGTTACATGGCTTCTCTTCAGCTGACCAAACAGACGCAAGCGCAAACTCAGAACCCGAGGTTACAGCCGTTATCCTTACCGGACACTGACAGAGTCATGAATGTGACGGCTAAAGGAAATCATTATAACATGGGAGGAGGAGTAACGGAGACGATGAAAGAGACCAAGTGGGAAAATGGAAACGCGAATATGCAACAGAGTTTCAGGACACTGGAGGAAGATCACATCGAGCAAATGATAGAGGAGCTGCTTCATTACGGTTCCATTGAGCTTTGCTCTGTTTTACCTACTCAGTCGATATGAGACATGCATGGCCCTGTCGTTTTAGCGTAATTTTTTCTTTAATTTAAGTTTAATCTTATTTTTATTTTCTTCAACATGACGGCATCGTGGAGTAGTAGAAGAGAAAAGGCTAGTTTCAAGACATTTTGATCTGAATTGGTCTCTTTGAAACACTCATTCTTGTTTCCACAAGAGCAATCGATCATATGCTATGTATGTATAGTATTTTTATGATTATGAAAAAAAATATTATCAATTTTTGTGTGTGTTCGTGTGTGAATAAGTGGGGATTATATGTAGTGAAAAGACACAACATTGGGAAGAAAGGTAGCAAAAGAAGATAACGAGCTGAGAGTTTGAAAATTTTGTAGTAAGCTTTTTGTTTTTTGTTCCATGCATGTTCTCAAATTTCAACGATGGGCCTTAGTTTTCTTTCCCTTTTAAAATTCTCTCTCTTTTGTTTTTCGTTTTCCTTTCGATTTGGGATTGCTGCTAAGCAGAAAGTGTCCCTACCTGTGGCCTAACACGACCATCAAATTCTAGCTTTTAAAAATAGTGGGATTTGTGAATTGTGATCTTTCTTTTTCTAGAACTTATGCTTATGCATATGTAAATAGGAATACAGTGATCAGCTATAAGAAACCTCAAAAGCAATAAGTGTATATAACCATGATCACTACATCATTTCTTCCAAACAATATCTACTGCATCAGTGGAAGCTTAAGCGTACGCAGCTCCCATGCCATACACTATAACACGGTAGCTTCTCCTCTCCGATCGATCGTTTCTTTTTGCATGCTTAAACAAGTTATCAGTTGTTAGCAACAAGCCAAAACAAAACAAAAATAATTGAACTAAGTGAATGATAATCCAGTATGGCTAATTAGCTCGTTGCAATATAAACTGTACACATGCAATGCATCTAAATTGCAGCAGCACCTAAATGATTTGACGTTAGGAATTATTTGGATCCAAAAAGATTTATTGTCCCTTTATTTGCATGCAATATAGATAATAAATTATCAATCTAATAACTCCCAAAATAAATAAATAAAGTAAGCAAGCTATGGATATTTTATACTAATGTACAACTTATGATTATGATACAAACAATCAAATAATTAATGATTTGATTAGCTTTTAATTTGGCTTTGATTGGATGAGAATACTGCGTGAATTAAGAAGAGAAATCTTATAATCTGGTAATAAAACTAACATTATACAAAGATGTATGTTATATCTAATTATGAAGACCGATGGAATATTTTTTTATATAAAAATTAGCCTTTGACTATGCGAGAAAAGTCTCTAATTTACAAGTTGACAAAAAGACAATAATAATTTGACTATAACATATAACCTCACTAAATTAACTTCTACAATGGGAAGCCAAAGAAAATTCCAAGGGCAAGCTCAAGGGTCTGATACCCAAAAAAGCTTCTAACAAAATAAAATTTATTATTTAATAAACATTAATTGAGAAGTAATTTTAAGCTTAAATTAGATAACTTATAAATAGCAAAACTGGTGACACGTGGAAGAAGGGATTCTACTGGGGTTCTTTCGGGTTTACCAAATGAAGACTTACTCTTAGAGCATGATTAATGGTAAAATCTTTTCTCCAATTCTCAAAGAATTTTTTTCTTATGTTTTTTGTTTAAGTCTAAGAAAAAACTAAAAAGTAAATCAATCTTCACGTTACATGTCGATGGGATTTGCAAACTGTACAAAACCCTTCAAAATCGATATTTACTCTTAGAGCATGAATAATTATAAAACCGTTTCTCTGGTTCTCAAGGATTTTTTTTATTTTGTTTTTTAAAAAATTAAAAAGTTAACCAATTGTGGAACTCTACATGTCGATGAAATCTGCAAACGGTGCAAAAACCCTTCCAAAATCGATCTTTATTTCATTATTTCTATTACAAATAATTACTCAACATCAATATTTTTTATATAATTATTTCTTGTTTATATATATATTGTATTTATATATATAATTTTCATATTTAGCTGACTTAAAATAATTTAAATTTTGAAAATAGGGTGTGAATATCCAAAATCCAAAAGAGATCAAAAAGAATTTATGACAAAATGACAATGATGATGTTTTTTAAATTTATTTTAACAAAATTCCCTATTAAAAAAGTAAGATATACCAAACTATTTACCTCCGAGTTGTGTAGGCATTTTGACCGGAATTTTGACTACGTGACAATATAGCTGCGTAGTTAGCCACTATAATATTTTATTTTATTTTTTTGAAAAAGACTATAATATTTGTTGAGTTCCATAACCATTTAAATGGGGTGAAACTTGACGAACAATATAATCGAGATAGATTAGAGAATCTCAACGTGACAATATTTTTGGATCGAGGTCTTTATCGAATGTAACTTATAATGATTATTCTACTACCTGTTTGTAACTTGATTTTGTTTCCCCCACAACCTTTTTAAAAAGAAAAGGAATAAAGAAGAAATCATTATAAAGGTGCAGTTTTATTCTAATTATTTTGTTTTTCAAAGCATTTTGAAGCAGCAAAGGTGAGATTTAAAATAATGGGCATGCTTGTGTATTCACAATCATTACTTCTTTGAACTTCTGTGACGCTTTTTTTTCCTTTTAGGAAGGTCCTTTTCTATTGTCCCAGTAAACATTTCACTGAACTCACCAAATAATGAATAAATAGGTTGAGGTATGGATTCAGATTTATATGAAAACGTATATTTTTCTTATATAAATCTTGGTATTTACTGAGGCAACCCTAGTTGTTTGAAATGAAAATTAGATACTCATCTCGTCTGATCACATAAAAGGATAATATAAATGTACTTTGTACACCCAAATTTAATCAACTGTGTTTGTTTTTTCTTAAACATATACGTATGTTTTGTTTTGTTATTGACTTATTCCAAACATCATTAGTTAAACGTGGTGTGCATTAATCTTACTTACGACATTTTATAGGAACAAGAGAGAGATCGTTGAGTTAGGACATGTTTAGTTAATTGTATATTGCTTTGGCTAAACATATACGTATTGAAAACAAATCTTTGGGCAAAACAGACAAACGCACCTATATATCGAACGCCAAGTTGGGCATTCAAAGATGATAGATCATTGCCACGATCAAGCTTTATTAGTAAAGGGAATCGAATAAGCTTATTTTTGTGGTTCTTTTACCATACTACTATTTATGGATTTACAACTAAAATCAATTGAAAATTTAAATAGGGATATAGTTTAGCTAATGATTTTCTAGATCACGTATAAATATATTATATCTTCCTTATGTACACATGTAAGAGAATAGTGCGAGATAGACATCTACCAATAATCGTGTTTGAAAAAACGTTGTAATACAAATCCATAGTTTGGATTTACGACTAGGCAATGTGGTATAATGGTTTATACCGAAAATGTAGCTGTATCATATAACCTGAATTAGTATAATAGTGTGGGTGTATGAGCGAGAAAAGACGTTTAACTAAAGTAAGTTAATGACTACAATGAGTTGGGTATCTTTGTAAATTGAAGATTACATTATTGTGGTCAACTAATTAGGTCTCTAGGTTTGCATCCATTTCAGCCACACACACATATTGTTACTATTTTAAATTACAGATAATCATTTATAGCTGTTGACCGTATCGCATATTTGGCGGCTTTATTACCACACAAAATCTCTAGTTATATACTCCCTCCGTTTTATATTAAGTGTCATTGTAGAAAATTTTTTGTGTTATAAAATAAGTGTCGTTTTCGGTTTTCAATGTAAAATTTATTAATTTTATTATGTAATTTGTTTTTCTATTGGTTAAAATATGGTTAGGTGTATGGGTAATTGTGTTTTTATATAGGAAATATGTAAAATTAATTGTTTCCTTAATCTGTGTGCATAGCTGTAGAGTGACACTTATATTGAAACAGAGGGAGTAACTTGTTTGATTTCAAGTTAGAGTTTGTTTTGGTTTGAAACTCCACATGGAACTATTACTTTTGGAGAAATTTTTTTTATGCTAAGAGCATCTCTAAACCATTTTCAAATTCTCATTTGAGATTTGAATAGTAACACCTCAAATTTGAAATTTCACTATTTAAAACCTTAAAACTGCTGTTTATTTATTTTTAGTTCTTATAATTATTTTATTTCATAAATACATCTACTAATTTTATTTAGAATAACTTAAGTACACTAAAGTAAGATAAAATAGAGTAAATATTACGTAAAAATTAAAATAAAACTCACAAAATAGGAAAATATATTAAATAAAGTTCATATTTGCGTGTATGTTGTTGTTTTCTAAAATTAGGTATTTTATATTTAATTTTCTATGTAATTTGGTATTCTTAATAGAAATTTGGTAATTTATTTGTATTTTCTAAAATTTATATGTATGTGTGTTGTTTTATTATATATATATATATAAAATTTCTATCATTTTATTATATAATAGTGTAATATCGTGTGTTGTATAATACATTAAAAGTGTTTTATATGTATTTATGAAGTTTTATCATTATTAATACATTTTATTAATGTCAAACACTATTACAAATAAATAAAATTTTTAAATTTATTTTGAGGATTCATGGTTGGAGTAATCAATCTCAAATCTTCATTTTGAAGTTTTACACTTGTTAAAATAATGTATTGGGTCAGAGATACTCTAAGGTCTATACGATATTGAGATGAACAAACTTACAGAAACTCAAAATTATTCTTAAATGTTGATTTGGAGAATTTAACATTTACACAAAAAGGGTAGATTTGGAGAGGCGGGGACACCATTTTTTTTTTGTCGCAGAATCATAATTCAGGATCTGAAATAAAATCATATATACAATAATAAAAGAGAGATATCCTCACTAGAGAGGCCCTCCACGTCGGATAAAATATTCAGGCCAATAGAAAGCCAGGTCCCCGCCATGTCAGCACATCACTTTAGTCATTTGGGCTTCAAATCTCCCTGGTCCAGTAACATTTAATTCCGACTAGCCCGTTAAGCCCATTTGACGGCGAAGACACTTTTCTCCTTTCTGCGAAGTATAATCGTTTTGCAAAACCTTTCCTTTCCTCTTCTTGGTTTCCTCCGTCTCACAGATCATTAATCTTCGTTCAATCAATTCAATCCCCACTTCTGCACGCTCTTGAATTCCCACTTCTTTTCACCTTCACCCTCTGAGTTTCTATATAAATCTCTTCCTCGATGTGTTATTTCCATCAGAAAGTTGTTACATCCTCCCGACAAGGCAGCAAGATGAGTTAGCAAAGCTTGAGACTGCTCTAAGTCGTGTTGAACGGAGACTTCAAGAGAAAGAAACCGAGGTTTCA